GACTCTGTAAACCGCTTAGAGAGGGCTGAAAGCCCTATGAAGCGGTATATAAGTCTAACTGCTATTGCTATTCTTAATTCCATCCTTTTTGCTCTTTTTTTTCTCCTGCTTTTCCAGCTTCCCTTCTTTTCACTTTCACTCACATTTACTCCATTAATGGGTTTATCTAGCGTCTTGTCTTTGTTTTCTGTATTTTCATTCTCTTCTTTAATCTCTGGGGCTCCAATCCCCTCCTCTTTTACTGTAGTACCCCATAGTCTGTCCCATTTCTTGTCAAATCTCTCAAGTCCTTCTAAAATATTTTGGAGTCCAGCCAGGATGTTTTGGATTATTAAGTTTTCTTCATCTGAATATTGATCCATTTTTCAAAATATAAAGGAATATAAAGAAAAAGAAAAAGGAATCTGCCACTCTAGCCTGTCAAAAGAATTTTTTGAAAGATATATCTATTTTTATTTTAAATCTTAAGCACAAGTTCTTTTGTGATTTTCAAAGTAGAAGGGTTCTTGTCTCTTTTTTCCTTTTCCTTCTCTTGCCAAAATATTTTCCAAGAGCACCTGCAAAACACTGTTCAGTGTCCTTGAGTTTTTATCAGGTTTTATAAACAAGTTCCAAACCCTTCCATTGCAAAGTCAGTGAAACCAAATAGAGAAGAACAAAGGATACATTGTTTCAAGAAAGAAAAAAACCTTCAGGCTTAGGCTTTCAAATGGCAGATTCAATTATTATTTTTTTATGCTTTTTCCTTAGGTATCTTTAGTATGATTTTATAACAAATAGAAGGAGAAATTTGTTAAAGTAAGAATATTTTTTAGTTTAAACCAAAAGAAAAATTTAAGGTAGTAAAAAATAAAATAAAGGAAAAAAGATCAATCCATAGACTTGAAGCGGAGAAACAGGAAATGTTGCAATTACTTCAATCCACAAAACATCGTTACAAGCAAGAATGGAAAACTTTCTAAGGCAGTCCAATAAGGATTAAATTCGCCGCTTTATTCTCACTTAGAGAACTAATTATTATTTATTTTTTTTAAAAAAAAGTTTCTTAGGGCAATCTTCTGAAAGTAAAAAAAAAAAAAAACCTCACCAGATGGAACACTTTCACTTCTTCTTTTCCGTCGGGAGCCGTCTCTGACTACGTCAGCCTGGGGACTGCCTGTTTGCCGCCGGTTGGAAGCGCTACCCTTGGGTCAATCAGGGACTTGCGGTGTCCCTGTGACCAGCAAGGTTATGTCTTCCCAGTCACCGTCTCTTCGGGACGGTTTAGGTCCTGCCAGACTGTCCAAGGGCAAAAGTGTCATCAGCGGACTCGAAGTATCGAGTCCGCACAATGTACCGTCACGACATTGGCTCCTCCAAGATTCAATCTTGAGCCTGGTGAGATTCGAACTGCCAAGCTGCAAGTGATCAGCAGAAGTAGCCTGCAATACTGCACTCTAACCACTGCACCACCGTAAAAATTTACCAGGGGGCCCATCTTTCATAGACAAGCCAAGATCTGCAGAGTTGTGGCCCTGAGGGGGTGGGGGTTGTCACTCTCTCATCTTGGAAGGGGCTTTTCTTTGGAGCGGTTTTAAGATCTTTGGGTTCCAGGCAGCCCCAGTGGATGCAACAGAGTTTGTCAACTCTGGCTAATGCCAAGCCAGCCAAGAGAACCTGGCTTGAATCCCTCCACCATCTGACACATGATAAAAGATGGGGAGGAGAAGCAACATGAAATTAAGGAGAAATTTCCTAACGGCGAGAACAATTAACCAGTGGTACAGAAGTTGCCTTCAGAAGTTGTGGGTGCTCCATCACTGGAGGCTTTGAAGAAGAGAGTGGACAGCCATTTGTCTGGAGATAGAGGATCTCTGAGCAGGGGGGTGGACTAGAAGACCTCCAAGGTTCCTTCCAGCTCTATTTTTCTATGTTCTGTATTCTATGTCTGGGCAACTATTTGTGTGGAATGGTGTAGCGCCTCTTCTTGATTCTGGTGCTCCAGCCAGCTGGTCTTGCATATACAGAGTGCCGAAAAACGGTCTGAAAAACACCCCCAAAACAGGCCATTTTTGGACCATTTTCCAGGCTGTTTTGGGGTCATTTTCCAGGCTGTTTTCTGGGCCATTTTCGGGGTGGTTTTCTTTGCGTGTGCCAGAGTAGCCAGCTGGTCTTCATGGGTGCCAGAGCGCCCAAAAACGGCCTGAAAACGGCCCAACAAATGGCCTGAAAGTTGCCCGAAAAACAGCCAAAAACAGCCCAAAAAGGGCTGGCTATTCCTCATGTTTCTGGGGATCTGGTGTTCGTACGTGCACATCCATTCCGGTTTGGGCACTTGGTGCCAAAAACGTTCCCCATCACTGGTGTAGGGTCTCCTGCTTGGGCAGATGATTGGACTCGAAGACCTGCAAGGTTCCCTCCCAACTCCGTTATTCTGTATATGAGAGGAAAATCTGTTTGTATGCAGCCGCCTTTGTCAGGATCCTCCTTATGGCAAGACATTTATGGGACTGCTTGTAACAACTTTTCAGTTTGAGAGTTTGGAACCATCTGTGTGCTAGTAAACATCAGAAGGAAAACAAGAGGCTTTTTTTTGGGGGGGGGGAAGCCAAATGTGTCTTTGTTTTGTTTACCGAGAGAGAAAATGCCACGAGAGGCTCAGTGATTAACAGATGGGAAGAGAATTAAAATACAGACCCAAGGCTGAAATATTTCACAAGCCAAGTTGGAAGGATCTGCAGAACAAAATAATCCTCTAAAGCAGAGATCTCCAACCTTGGCAACTTTAAGATTTGTGGATTTCAACTCCCAGAATTCCCCAGCCAGGGAGTTGAAATCCACAAATCTTAAAGTTGCCAAGGTTGGAGGCCCTTGCTCTAAAGAAGGCAGAATATAAACTTGGCGTCTTAGGTGTTGGATTGTCTATTGGAGGCCACAGGGACTGGGAGCTATTTTAGAAAGGAATCTTGCAATCCTGAAGTGAGGGTCTTAAGCATGTACAAACCTTTTTTGACACCCCTCCCCCCCAGCTTCCAATAATGCAAAATGAGGACCCAGATTGTTTGGGGGTAAGAGTCTGACTCTGTAAACCGCTTAGAGAGGGCTGGAAAGCACTGTGAACAAAACCCGCCACCTTGATTTTGGTCCTTCCTGTTCTGAAGGCCAGAAGAAGATGCTACCTGGAAAACAAGTGGTCTCTAAGTGGTTTAAGAGTCAGCCTCTTGCTCCCAACAATCTGGGTCCTCATTTTTCCCACCTTAGAAGGACGGATGGCTGAGTCAACCTTGAGCCAGTCAGGATTAAACCGCTGTCATTGAGCAGAATTAGCCTGCAATAACTGCATTTTAATCACAAGGAAGGAAGGAAGGAAGGAAGGAAGGAAGGAAGGAAGGAAGGAAGGAAGGAAGGAAGGAAGGAAGGGCACTTAGACTTATCTACTGCTTCACAGTGCTTTACAACCCCTCTCTAAGTGGTTTACAGAGCCAGCCTCTTGCCCCCCAACAATCTGAATCCTCATTTTTCCCACCTCTGAAGGATGGAAGGCTGAGTCAACCTTGAGCCTGGTGAGAATCTGCCAAATTGCAGGCAACTGGCAGTCAGCAGAAGTAGCCTGCAGTACTGCATTCTCACCACTGTGCCACTAAGGCTCTTAATTAAGCAGGTATCTCAAAGTACTTCAGGGGACAGGAAAGTGTCTTCCAGATAGATATTTTTTGAGGTCTAGGCCAACTCACCACGGCCAACTCGCCGCAGGACAATTTGCCATGAAAGAAGAGTTACACTCATACTGAAGAAATGGTGGAATATCGTCATTAAAGGAAGGATGCCAAAGGAGAGACAAAATGAAATGCAAATGACAAAAATTTAAATAATTTTCAATTGATTTTAAATAATTAAATTGAATTGTTGAATTGTCCTGCAGTTGGGTTGTGCCAGAGTGAGTTGGCTATGGCAAGTTGTCCTGGGGCAGATTGGCCACGGTGAGTTAGCCATGGAAAATGGGCCACAGCGACTTGGCCGTGGCAAGTTGTCCTTTTCCACCTCCTGGGCAGGCACACAGAGAGCAAGGGAGGTAGAAGCCTTCCCATTGCCATCTTAATGTGCCCACTGGATGCCAATTTGCCAGGGTGGCATAAGCGTCACCCACCCACCCCTTTTCACAGAGGGAATAGATGCTAAGGTCTAACCACCTGCTGACTGGCTTCCCATTGCAACCCCAACCACAAATCAGCCGGCCTTACTTGTGTTGTGGGGTGCAAACCAGCCCATGTGTGGACAAGAAACACCACAGACCATCATCCTTTCTGAGGGTGAAGGTGGGGGTGAGAGTGGCATTTGTTTATCGAATACATTTGTCCTCTTTTCCTGGAGACAGGTTCTCCCTCCACACCTGTCCCAATGATGCAATGCGCTCGTGAAGTTGGGATGCCCTGCGCCTCACCTGCCGTTCTCTCCCCAGATGAGTTTCCATGATGACCAAGGCAGCTACATGGCCAATGACCGCAGCAGTGCCAGCGACGGCTTGAGCAGCAGCGAAGGGAGTTCCCTGACCTACTCCATCTTGTCAGACCACCTCCCCCCACCTCCAATCAGCCCACCCCCTAGACCTCCGCAGTTCCGGGCCCCCCAGGAAGAGCCCAGGGCCATGGAGGCAGTCCAGAGTGCTCCCTCTGGCCCACATCCCACATCCCTGCTCCCCCTCCCTCCTCCCCCTCCACCCCTTCCCCCTCCTCCCCCGATGCCCTGTGTGCCCCCTCCAATGCTACACGGAAGTATCCACCGCAGGAGCGAGTCCAGCCACATGAGTGTTAAGCGGCTGCGCTGGGAGCAGGTGGAGAACTCGGAAGGCACCATCTGGGGCCAGGTAGGATCCGAACCCCAATTGAGGTGCATGCGGAGGAGAAGGAGTGGCAGGAGCGGGTGGGAGGCAGAGTGAAAAGAGGGGCCAGCCTAGAATTCCTACATAACCACAAGAAAATTAAGCCGATCCCCCTGGAGTGCTGTTGTCCCTGATCGAACTCTAACCAACGCTAACCATTAGTTGAAAAGATTCCTGTGCAAAGGCAATAAATCAACTTCATTGAACCTTCAGTGTGGACTTGGTCTTTCCTGCCTGACCCCGTGACCCCGTCTCCTCCCACCTTGGCCCCTGCTCTGTTGGGCTCCTCGGAGCTTTCCCTTCTGCCTGGTGGGAAAAAGAACCTTTAAGTGTGTACACTTTGCAAGAACTTACGGCAGTTAATGATATTATTTCGAACGCTGTGCTAAGCTTTCCTCATTCGTTCCGTATTTATTTCTGTGGTTACGAAAAGGGCACCCAAAGCCTATTTGGGGCACTGTGAACCCTCGAGGTCTTGATTATAAAGCCAGGAAAGGCCTTTTATTTGGCGGTAAAACTGGGCTATTTCCTTTGGGCAGGGAGATGCCTCACTCCCTTCTGCAGGTGGGGGAGGTTGGAGTGAGAGATAAATAAGCAATAGTTTGCTCCCCTTCTCAAACACACCTGCTCATTTTGGTTGCATGCCTGGCCGTTTGGGGAGAGGCAGATGGGCTTATCAGTAGCTTCTCCTCCAGGTTCCCCTTTCGTGTCCTTCCTTTGTGGCCTTGATGCCAACTTCTGCTTGGTGGTGGTGGTGGGGCTTTAGTGCAAAGTGCTGAGCTAAGTGGGCATCAGCCAGGGGCCCAGCACCCAGGGCCCTTTGAAGAGCCGAGGGTAAATTTGGCTCTTGGTGTGACTGCCTCTCTCTTCCTTCCTGGCGTAGCTCGGGGAGGACTCGGACTATGACAAGCTAAGTGACATGGTGAAATACTTGGACCTCGAGCTGCATTTTGGAACTCAGAAGCCAGCGAGTGAGTGCGGGTACTCTGCCCAGCAGGGGCTTCTGGAGAGGGGGCTTGGTTGAGTGAGGGGCAAGGGAAGCAGCTCGCCTGAGCATTTGGTGATACCACAGCCCCCTCTCACCCGGCCTGGGGTGGGGGCTGCGCACAGGGTGCATTTCCTTCTCTCTGTGGGGCTTCTGCCTCTGTGCTGCCCATATACTTCCCCATGAGCACTTCGCTTGTTGACTCGGGGCAGCATCGCTTCGCTTCCCGGCTGATCCTGGGGTGCTCTTGGCTTTCCTGGCTCACGTTATCTTCCTTCTACCACATTGCTCCTCAAATCTAGGCCAGCGCTGCTATGTGGGTCACAGCTGGGCAGAGAGTGGGTGGGTAGGCGAATTGCCACGCCTTTTACTCCAATGCTCCCAGAGGGGAGGGAGGAGGGGGAGCCATCCACACATTTGCAAAGAATGCAAAGCAGGTGGATTCTGAAGTCCTCCCTCCCTTCTCCCTCCGCTCTTCTGTGGGGCCATCCAGGCTCTCTAGATATGATGAAAAAAACTTCAGCCCACATAATGCCCAGCCTTTGCTCTGGCCATATGTATGTGGCTGGAGTAATAGAGCAGGAATGGCTAATATTTTTGCCATTGCGTGCCAAAAGCAGGGGGAGTGCAGGGGAGTCATGTACGGGCGTGCCCATATCCATAATTCTATGTGTGCCACACACCCCCTGCGTATGCACGTGCAACTCTGCTTTTGGCATGCAATGGACCTGTTTTTCGCCCTCCCCAGGCTCCAGAGGCTTTCTAGGAGCCTGGGGAGGGTGAAAACAGCCTCCCCCGCCTCTCCAGAGCCTGAAGCCTCCAGAGGGTGAAAAATGGCTGTACGGGCAACCTGGAAATTTGGGAACGGACTTCCAGGTTGCCCATAGGGTCATTTTTCACCCTCAGCAGACTTCAGGAAGCTTCCCTGAAGCCTCCGGAGGGAGAAAAATGGACAACACGCAAACCGGAAGTCTGATCCCAAACTTCATTTGCATATGCGCGTTGGGTTGTTTTTTTGCCCTCCGAAGGCTTCAGGGAAGCTGAAAAATGGCCAATAACAAAGGGCGAGATCAGCTGTGCAGAGCGTGCGCTGGAGCTGACAGGGCAACACCTTGTGTGCCCTAGCAAACAGCTCCTCGTGCCACCTGTGGCATCACGGACTCAGAGGCTGATGAGGAGAGCCCCTTTCTGTCGTTCAGCAGATGGGATGCCCATCATGGCAGGGACCCTTACAAAGTCTTGCAAGTTACAAGGCTAGTTGAAGATGCAGATGGCCCAGGTGCAAACCCACCTGTGGCCAGTGAAGCTGATGGGGTCATGTTGGCCCTTAATGCTCTCTCCCCCCCACAACTTACCTGATAGGGTGGTTGTTTGGAGAAAAATATGGGTAGAAAATATAATGCCTTAAGCTCCAGGAAATAACTAACTAAATTTTTGTCTCCTGGTGTCTGCCTGAACCGGTCCCTTCAGTTTCTTTGTCAAGGTTTTTCAGGAGTGGTTTGGGACTGAGTGCCTTGTAACCACTGCACTAAACTGCTTCTCTAACTAATAAATGAATAAATACCATATTTTGCAGAGTATAAGACGCACCTCCCCCCCAAAAAGAGGGTGAAAATCTGGGTGCGTCTTATACACTGAATACAGCATTTTTGCCCTCTCGAAACTCCGTCCACTTTGAAAAAATGGATGTGCAGAGGGTTTGGAAGGCCTGCAAAGTGCTCCTGGGGAGGGCAAAAATGGGCGTTTTTGCTCGTTTTTGCCCCCCAGCCCCCAGGAGCACTTTACAGACCTCTCAAACTCTCTGCATGCCCCATTTTTCACAGAAAATGAGTTATGTAAAGGGTTTGGGAGGCGTGCAGAGCGCAGAAACTTTTTTTTAAATTTACCTCTTCAAAATCTTGGTGTGTCTTACACTCTGAAAAATATGGTATATTTGGCTATAATCATTCCCATATGAAGAGGAAACCTGAAGCCGAAAAGGACTTCCTTATGGCTGTTGGGAAGTTCATGGCTCACCATTTTAAGTATACCCCTCAGCCATCAGTGCTTGGCTCCCCCTTATAGTTCTTGCAAGCTCAGAAAGACCACAATTGCTCATCCTCACCATTGCTCTCCAGAACTGGTTTTCAAAGGTAGACTGCCTCTAAGCTTGGAGGCAGATGATTATACCTGAGGCTGAGCTTCTCCACAGGGAGAAGCAATTCCTCTTCAGAGCCTTGGACTGGGCTTGGTCATGCCAGAGGGATGTTGGACAGAAGGCAAAAGTGACAGGCTGGGAGGGCCAGTTGGGGAAGGAAGTGAAGAGGTTTAGTGTCAAGGTTCCAAATAGCATCCAAAAGTAAATCAGAGTCCAAGGCAAAGTATTGCTCAAAGTTCCAATTTATTAGGAGAGCTGTGTTGGCACATCTGGGAAAACCCGAATATGAAAATTTCCCGGTTTGCCCCACCCAGTTGAAAGTTCAACATCTTGCCCGCACACACACCCACAAGTCCATCCCATGGTCCAATCTCCCACTGCCATGCTGGCAGTTCCGCCCATCCAGTTCTGGTCAGGTGCAGAGGTGCAAAGACAAAGGATGACCTTGGCTTTCTAGAAATCATTTTGTTATGACTACATAAGCATCTAACTCCTCCCATTTTCCCACAATAGAAAATGCATAGTAGAACAATAAAAAGTGTGGCAGGTCAAAGATGTTGGAAGAATATGGCTGCAGGCCTGATATTTAGGTTGTGAGAAGTGAAGATGAAGAGTTCCCCCCCAAGAAGCAATGTGGAATTGGTGTGCTGGGCTTGAGATGTTCTGAGTATCTCATGCCTTTGACTACATTCCATCTTGCCCTGGGATGCTGTGGGTGCCCGTCAGGAACTTCCAAGATGCCCAACGCATGTCATGTCAGCCCTACAGCTTCATTTTTTTCTCCTTCCCGGGGCCTCTGGAACCCTCTCCTGATCTCACATTAAATCTTTCAGTTTCTCTTCCAGAGCCGAGCCCCTTGCCGGAGCCCCTTAAAAAAAAGCATCTGGTTGAGATTCTGTCCCACAAAAAGGCCTACAACACAGGTGAGTAACAGCCAACGGGCCAGG